TGCCACGTCACGGATGAAAGCTCAGCACGGATTCATTAAAGCTGAGTTCTACAGTGAGCCGAGGTCTTTTTCGTACAATTCAATAGACAAAGGTCCAATGCAACCCTTTTACAATAAATGGTGAGGCTAATTTACCAATTCCTTTCACCCTCCCATTTAAACGACTAACTAGTATGACTAGCTGAAAACTTTACGATGGATAAATAAATTAAAAAAATATTTTGATGAATTTCATTGATTTAAATAAATAAATGCTGATAAATAAATAGGAGCATGCTACTGCGAAGAGACATCGAATGTGAAAAGTGGCAAACGATAAAAAGGTAGAAGATAAAGAAAAAATAGGCAGCGTGAGTGTGAGGCATTATGAAATCTTAACTTCAAAGAAATGAGTATGCATAAATGCGCATTGTAAAAGATAGCAGCTTTTCAGGCTCATTGTTTGAAAAATTGAAGAAATTTGTGAACCACGTAAAGGTTGTAGTTCACCTTTTATTACAGCAAAATTATAAGATATTTTAAACTCATTGCTGTTCTATAGTAGATATGAAGCAAAGGACAAGTAAGATAATGGCCAGAGGGTCCAAAGAATTGGACCTAATATCAGATCAACTAACCCGAGAAATAAGAAGATAGAGGACAGGCGATAAGGATAGTTAGACCCAAATAAGCCCAGTTAAATGAAGATACAACTTGAGCTTACCAGAAAAAAGATGGCAAATATCTAGGGATATAGGATAACTTGTAGGAATAAAAGACTAAGAAAAATAGAAAGTAAAAGTACTTGAGAAGACTATTGTCCCTGAAGTTTTCATTTTGAAGGAAAAGTTGTTGGAGGTCTAGTTAAATGGAGCTACCAGAAAAAGAGGGAATAGTGACTGTCGAGTTATGTGAACAAGTCCCCGATCTACCTTCCTGCAGCTTCAAAGAATCTCTAATTAGCCTGTTTCTATCACGTGGCAAACATCGTCAGAAGAAAAAATATTCTCATGGAAGGGACGCTCAAAAAGAAATTGATCAGAAAAAAGTCTTATGCTGGGATAATACTCAATTTCTGGTCCCACCACAATTACAGGCTAAAGATATGAAAAATGAGGAGCATAATCTTCCGAAGCTTACGCTTAACGGATATAAAATTCTGGGACAAGGAGTTGGACAAATTGACTAGGATATTCGTCGGCAATAGCTACTTAACCGAGGTAATACAAAGAAACATACGAACCGTGTAAAGCCGATGGCAGAATGGGGATTATGAAAGAACAATAAGGACGGAGAAGGATTAACAAAAGTGGGTATGACTACCTTCCATCGAACTAACTCAAAACTATGGCCAATATTGAGGAAATGAAATATTCGGGTGGCCATGAAAGAAAAATCAACACTTTTCACAAGTCTACCGACGCAACATGAAAGAGTAGATAATGGATTGTTCAGGAGTTTAATATACATCATGTGGCGCCTGCGAAAAGAAATATATTTGCGAAACAGAGAGAAAAATTAGCATACACATCAAAGAACAACAAATACTCTGCAGGAAAATGGATACTGAAAGATCAGAATTAGCGAAACACATCGCACAGACGGGACACGAGGCCAATTGGGAGGCAACAGAAAGAAGGGCCTCATACGGTAAAAGCACAAGGAAGCAGAAGATTAGGCAGGCCATTGACATCCTTGGGGAGAAAAAGTTAGTGATAACTTTGCCTACTGCTTAATCAAACCCGTAGGAAAATAGATCGCACTGAGGAAAGTGGAGGCGGGGAATTTCTGCAATCAAGCGAAGACGCTGTCAGTGAATGATGTCTATTTCGAATAAACCAGTACAACTTTGGAGGCATGGCAGTCAGGTAGCTAGGTGGAGGGATAGCCAAACCGTCTCAAAAATTCGACGTTATGGCAAAAATGTAGTAGAAATCCACTTGAGATGCTGCATGCGACCAAAGATAGGCGTCCACAGTTTGCCCAGGTAACATCGGTTTAATCAAGGAGACGACGCGTGAAAGAAATGCCTGATATCTGCAAGCATAGGAATCAGAGCCTATGCGCTCTGCTCGGTGATGCGGCCTTGTACGTGCTTCTAGGGCTTTGACAAATGGCGCCTGGAGTGAAATACATATTGGGACTGGAACCGATAGAAATCGGTCAACCAGAAAGATAAGGAACGGATCTACGAGACAATGAGGGTATCCGGATTGTAGGCCCGAGTCGGATCAACCTATCGAAAGAGAGGGGGTTGGAGTAAATAGCAAGTGTGATGAGACCACATTCGATTTGCCACAAAAGGGCACACATTTTGACGAGTCGAATGTAAACAAGTCAGAAATTGTGATAGGGCGGGAGTTGGACAAGAGGGTAAAGAGTAGATAGATAGGCCAGGAAAGGAAGACGAGTAATAGTGTAACTGTTTTCGGCAGAACATTTGTCGAGGGATTGACTTCACTCTTTTCTTTTGACAAGTTCGTAGCTTGGTTCGGAGAATGACAAAAGTCACTGATGATGCCGACTACGATTCCTGCGAAACGTCTGAGAATGTACAAAGTTGACTGTCTGATGCTGGGAATTATGAAAACAACTATAGCAGACGATTTCGGACTAGGTGTATTCTCTACTAAGTCGCCATAACAAGACCAAGTCGCGACACCAAGATCAACCCACTTCTATAAATCGAAAGGAGATTGTGACCATACAGGGGCCACACCATCTTGGTCTTCATATATTAGATTATAATAATTTAAATTAATATAGAGCTTAATAGAAAAATCCTGTTTTGATAGCAAAATATAAAAACAAACTATAAAGTATGCCGTATTTGGTAATAATCACCGTTTAACTTATATCAATATATAGTAGAGAAAGCCTGGCAGCACCATTTGCTTACGTGAACGAGATGTTGAATCTAGGCATGGTAACAAACTCGCTGAAGCATTCTAAATGTATCATGTGCTGAACCTGCGCACCGGCAGGAACTAGAGATGGTGGTGCTTGCTGCAAATGAACCTGCAAACCAGTATCTTCAATAGCATCAGTATTAGTCACCTGCACAACAAAGTTGGTCAGATCGCCCAGGCTCGATTTGTTACCATAGAAGACTGCAAGTTTTCCCTGACCACTTGATTGATATTGAGTTTTTAAGCCAATTTGGATAAGTTGGTTCTCATAGAGGACGCCATTAGCCTTACAGATAAACCTGAAAATAAAGAAAATAATTTACAATCTTCATAATATGAAAGCTGAGCAAAAATAAAAGGGACGAATATCATTTTCAACTTGTAACAGTCTAGATCAATTTCAGGTTGGAAGGAGAATGGAATCAAGATGTTAAAGATATAATTTTCTGATGGATTAACGAAACAGATTTTGGACTCCTTATAGTTATGCAAAAATAAGTCATATAGTTGTGATAGCTATAAATATATGAAGGTTTGACCATGATTGATAGCCTTTCATTTATTCTATTGAGTTTCAAACATATAAACTTTGCCAGTTTGTGTGTTGCTCCATACTCGTTGTTGACTATTAGCCTAAGTAGCGCGCCTTCCTTGTGTATCTTCGGTAATCTGTATGCTGTTGGTGGTCTTGCATCCATTATTATAGTTAAATTTATTGTCCATGCATCAATCTCCCTATTCATATGCATATCTTTTAGCACGGCACTTAAGATCCCATTGATCTTCATAGTTGGGTCCTTGTTTAGCATACGATATGTAGTCCTGTATTGTAGAATATCTTCCATCTTATCGGTGTATTGTTTTTTGTCTAGCTCCTCCTTTGTCCGCCTGAAGGACTAATTGTCTATTTTTTCCAGGGTTTTGCGTATCCCGACAAATCCATTCCTATGCGTAGGCTCCTGATGGGTCAAGGTCTTTGGGATTAGTTGCATCTCCGTTTCCCGTTTTGTTTCCTCTGGGTACTTGTCGGTGATATTGATAACCTCGACCAGGATGTCTCCTAGAAGGCTCCTGTGATTTTGAATTGAAAAATTGAGTCCTTTCTCCAGGAACGCGGTTGTTTCAGGATTGAGGGGTAATAATGATAAGTTTACTACTTTCTTCCTCTCCACGTGCTGATCAGTAAGTGGTCTTTTTCGAAACCAATTCAACTGGGCGCACTGTCCTCAACTTAAGCTGTCTAAAAATCCCAAAGTTACGCAAATTATCGTCATGCCGTTTGGTTATTAAGTCAGAAATCCTACGTGATTTCCTGTTCGTCATGGTCTGGAGTTTTTTAAAATCTTCCGGAGACAGGACCCTGGCCAAATCACGCCGGAGCTTTGACTTAATATC